ACATGAAACTGATTTTCTTTCTATTTCATGAACGTATATATTTTCAGAATTTCCGGCTACAGAAGTCATCAGGTTCTTGGTAGGATTTTGGAACAAAGGATCCGATCATTTCACCGTCGACAGCATGGAAGCCAGTTTTCGCTACCCGATGGATTTTTCGTTTTATATTCAAAACGTATATAGATTTACGTGACTAGGTTAACCTCAGTAAACGTCTGTTTTATTTAGTACACCCCCGTAGCTTTTAACAGAGATGTAAATCCGAACACCGAAGCCACATTCGACTATTCGTTTATGACAAGCGACACCTTCGCCGGAAGACCTTTTGGTTTTGTGGTCAATTTGAACTATCGAAATTCGGTATGCAGTGTTTCGGAATTAGTTAGTTATCTGAACTTTGTAAGAAAGAGGATGTATTTCTTAAATTTCGGATATATCTGTCCGAAGGATTTCTTCCCCAGTGTTCGTGTTTCCCATGGGCTGGTTTTGTTTATGCATTTTATTGCACAGGTTGCAGAGGCTTGGTTTATACTTGCCTCTAGACTGACTGTATTGTGCATTGTTAACAGAAGGTTCTTTGACAGCTAGTCACATAAGACTCGAAAGGGCGGCAGTTTGTATCATGTTTAATGTATGATGCTCGGTTTTAAAATAGTCTTGCACTAGCATTGAAATTTCCTGCTACAAGCGCTGCTCAAAGAATTTATTGCACGAATAGCAGTGTCAACTTTTCCGTTGACAAAGACAGAACCCATGATCTTTTTGTTCTTTGGCCAACAATTACTACGAAGGATGTGAAACAGCTGACCAGCATTATAGATTATAGTATGCCAGACCCAAGCTTGTAAAGGCGTGATTTGGTGAATTAAAGAGTGGTTGACAGAATACATCATGGCTGCAATCAGTCACTGACAGATTGAAACAGCTGAACAGGGCTCCACAAGTCGACCTGTCACAATCTGCATCTGATATTTTTAAGGACGAGCCAGTCATAAACTGTCAGAAAAAATGAGGATATCAGTAATCTTCACGACATCCAATAAGTCGAGTCAAAACCATGAGGTGCGGTAAAAGGACAGCCTTTA